AAGTTTAACGTGACTGAGCGAACGTGACGGACAGAGGTTGGACGTCTGTACCTTGCTGCTCTCCACCATCGAGGGCAGGAGACACATGTTGAGCTCAGGTCTCGGAGGCCGGATGTTGTTTTTGGCTCCCATCAGCTTGATGTTCTCTCTGCAGGGCAGGTACGGGCCGAACGACACTGAGAGAACACACACACACACACAGACACACACGACGAGAGTCAAACACAAAACAAGAGTCAGACAAACAACGAGAACAATTTAACCTGATGTCAACACGAGGTAAAAAAAACTAGAGCGATATCTGAGTATCTTCACACATGAATTGTGTGACATGTTGTGCGACATGTTGTGCGACATGTCGTGTAGTGAGTGTTTGTCCTGTGAAGCAGCAGCAGGTTGTCCGGGTCCGACTCGACTGTTGGACGTTGGCGGAGAAGTGAGATCTGCTAAGTGATGTTCTGTTCATAAAAGATGTTTTAAACTATGAGGTGGAATCTGTGAGATTTTCACTTCATGTAAACATCAAACTGAAATCACATGAAATGGACTTTTGTTTACACTCGAAGTTTTCTGAATAATTTTGTATTTTAGATTCTTCGTTGACGTTCAGATTAAAAGTTAAAGGATGCAAAGAAACTTGAATCATTAAGATCAGACAAGAGGAGGAAGAAGAGGAGGAAGAGGAGGCAGCGTCTCACTGGGGATGTTGCTGTGGTGGTAGGTGCAGTGGTTGTGCTGCAGGAAGGGAACCAGCGTGTGCAGGAAGTCGTGAGGACTCAGCAGAACGAGTTCCTTCAGGACGTCTGCAGGAAGCAGAAGTAACAAGGACGACACAGGACAGTTAAAACAAACAGCTCCTCGTCCGTCGGCTCGATCGCAGTCACTCAAACATCAAACGGATTCTAAAGTGTCGTCATGTCACTGTTTACCCAGGCAGGCGTTGCGGAGCTCGGGTGGACTGTACGAGTTGAGGAGGGTGAGCAGCTTGTGGGCGAAGTCGATTCTCTCCTGCCACTGGATCAGAGCCTGCTTCACATCTGGACAAGACAGAGAAACACGGGGTCAAAGGTCGTCACTGAGAGTACGCTTCTGTAGGTGAGAGAGTTCCAAGTGTTTCATTGAATCATATGTTCCCTCAGCTTCTCGTCTGACCTTTGCGCTGCAGGTACGGCCGCGTGGCTTTGAGGACCGACAGGAAGATGGAGAGCAGCTCCACCAGGTCTCCGGTGACGTGGCACGCCGTGGCCTCGTGGTACATCATGTGCAGCGTGTTGAACGACTGCAGGGAACAAACCACAGAGAGAATCCTCTTCTTTACTAAACAACTGGACCAAGTTAAGCTGCGTTCACACCCGAGAACTCAGAGGTCCGAGTCAGTTAAACATCAGCTCGTCCTCTGGACCTACCTCAGTCATGAGGATGAGTCCTCTGTTGAAAACCACCAGCAGGCGGTCCTCGTCGTTCTCCAGCAGAACCCTGAAGGCACTGAGAGGAACAGCAGAACCAACATTTAGATCCAGCCAGCATGTTCAAGAGTGTGTGTGTGTGTGTGTGTGTGTGTGTGTGTGTGTGTGTGTGTGTGTCCTGACCTGATGAGCGTCGTCCAGCAGGAGCGTCCGTCCAGGCAGCGCAGGTAACAGCTGATCGTGGTTTTCTTAAACTGTTTGACGTCCTCAAGTTCTTCTTCTCTCATGTCGGCTCGCTGAGCCACAAACAGCTGCATCAGGTTGAACAGCTCCTCCACCGCCTGCAGGGGGCAGCACACAGCAGAGAAGATGGATGACATACTTTGAAATCATGTACTATGGGTTTTTAAAATTTGTACGATTTTCTATAATTTGATATATTTTTGATGATGACATGAAGTTTGCTGGATTCGATGGTGAAACCCTGGCACCCTGGCTGAACTCGACACAAAACAAAAACCCACCCCGGGGTACTGGCTGGCGTGTGGCGTCAGGTTCTTGAACGCCCACTGGATGTTCTGGTGGGAGGCGAGCTGGCGGCTGAAGGCGGGCGACTGCTCGCAGCACATGCGCAGGATGCCGTAGTAGGCGGGCAGCATGCCGCGGTTGAAGAGCACCACCTCCTGGTCGTCGTGGTCGGCCAGGATGTAGTTGAAGGCGATGTTCTTCGTCACCACAGGGTTCTGCACCACCAGCCGGACGTTCTCCGGACAGTCCACGCACACGTTGTACCAGAAGGACAGCAGCGCCTGCTTGTTGTGGTTGGTGGCGATGGCCGGCTCCGACAGTTTGGGCTGAAGACAGAGGGAGGAACACGGTCAACACGAGAGAAGCTTCACACGAGGAGAGAACATGTGTCATAGAACAAAACAAGGTGTCGAGTGAGCGAAAACCTTGAGTCTTAAAAAACGTAATAAATGAATAAATACACTATAATTAGATTTCTCACGTCTTCATGCCCCAAATGTTCACAATTCTCTTTGAAAAACTGAAACTTCAACCAAATCAATAAACCGAGTTCAGAAGGGACAAATGAATCTCTGAGCCGCTCGTCTGTCCTCTGAAGACGAAGTAGTCTCTGGGGGCAACAGCCAACATGCTGCGTCTTCCAGTGAAGACACGGGGACGTCCAGGCCAAGACTCCGTCTCATGTTCTCTATGAACTCGATTTACAATCTTCACCAGCCGAACGTTTCTCCAAACACAAGTTGGCCTCTTGGCTCATCTCTAACAGCTTTCTGTGTATGAACGTAGATCTGACATCAGCCAATATGCTCCGCCTCTTTCCCCTCTCCACGCCAAAGCTCGAACCTGATTGGTCAAACCAGAAGATTCAAGCCACAAAATCTTGTCCCTCGCTACAGATTCTGTTTATTCACATGAAGAGTTCATAAAGATAAGTAAGTAACTGACTGAGTGTTTCAGCAACAATTTTCCTTTTGATCGTGAATCGAAATCATTTGTTTTACGAGCAGAAACGTTGTTTGGTATTTTTATGTCGCTGTGTTGCTTTAATTTCGCATTAATCGAATATTTCTTCGATTGTAAAATGAGATGAAGAAAATGATGAGAGAGAAAACGATCATACCTGGAAGAGGTTCCACAGGTCCATGAAGTATCCGGAGAACATGAGCTTCTCCGTCTTGGAGATGAGGCAGTAGGTCATGAAGCTGAAGTACTGCACCAGCTTGGTGGTGCCGTGGACGCTGGCGTCCACATACAGCTTGGCGCGTCCCAGCAGCCCCAGCAGCAGGTTGTAGACCTGGTGGAGGACCACGGTGGTGTCGGGCGACAGCGGCAGCTCTCGAGTCGGCAGGTGAAGCGAGCGCGTGGAGCGGAACATCTGGCGGAAGGAGTTGCTGGGGATCAGGGAGACGAGGAGGTACGCGGCCGCTGCAGGAAACAGACTCAGAGTCAGGAGGGAACCAACCATCAAGTGGATTTGAATCATTCTCGTCTATTTGTTCTGGACAAATTGTTTTGCTCGTGTTCCTGTGTTTACTGGTGTCTGCTGTTCCTGGGTCAGTTTCACAGATTGAGATTCAACTTCGCTTCTGACAATTAAGTTTGGTTTCAACTGAACTAATCTGTGTGAGTCATACGAAGGAGACGCTGCAGCAGCAGACTGGACGGCAGATGGGTAAATGTGAATTACATGTTCGGACTCGGGGGTAGTTGTGCGCCAGCAGAAAACGTTCCACCCAGTTCTCCATGTTCTGCAGAACCCAGCTGTGGGCCAGCTTGTTCCTGGGAGTCTGCACAGCCAGCCAGTCCAGACACTGGGACGGGTTGTACTCGATCACCTGGAAGAGAAAACACACGGGAAAGGTTCAAAGTTTATCACTTCACTGGGCTCTGAACAAAACACATGTCAAGTGTGAAGCTGAGGAAATCTTGAGATATGTGGATCCAGATTTCTGGAATCAGCACGTAGAAATAGATTTGAGTAGTTTTACCGTACGAAGCAATGTTTCTACTCTCACGTTAGTATAAATCCTTCAGGGCTTTGTTATGAACTAGTGTTGACGGCTCAGTTTACCTCCCAGATCCTCTGCAGGATGAAGGAGGCGAAGGAGGGCATCCCCGGTGGTCCGCCAGCAAACTCCATCAACATCGTCAGCAGCTTGAAGAAAGGATTAGCAGCCTGGAAACAAACAAAGAGGGATGAATGCCGACATCAACAGAGACGATCTGAGCGAAGAGTCCCGTCTCCGTGCTTCTTACCTCTGGAGTCAACTTAGCGATGGAGGTGAAGAGCATCGACACGATCTGCACAGAAAACAACCAGGAGATCAAGAACAAAACGTTTGTGAACCACAAGCAACGTGTGTGTGTGTGTTAGTGTGTGTGTGTGTGTGTGCGATACACCTACATGCTCGGCCAGGCGGTTGTTATAGCGACAGAGGCTGAAGATGAGGTTGCAGGTTTGTCTAATGTTGATTCCGTCTCTGATGTGCTGGAAGAGGAAGGGGAAGCCTTTCCCTCCGGTCAGCGCTGCCATGTCGCTCTGAGACAGAGTCAGATGTCTGCACACAGACGGAAACATCATCAGAGCTCAGCCCCTCGTTCACAGAACTAAAGTTAAAGGTCCCCACCGGTGCTCGTACCTCTCAGACCGAGACTGCTCCACCAACAGAGCGATGAGGGCGATCATCTTCTCCAGAGCTGCAGGACGATACTTCTCCTCCGCCAGAGACAGGATGTCCTCCTCCTCGTCCTCCTCCTCCCCCTCCTCCTCTGACAACACCTCCACCTGAGGCTGAGGAGCACACACTCGTCATTTACCGCGCTGGAGCTCGACTGAACAACCGGCCGATGTCGACGTTTATGTTTGCTGATGTAAAAACTTCTATTTTATAGAATAAATGACGCAGAAAATACTTAATGTGAGAGGTCGAATTACTGTCCTGTGGTTGTACCAGGTTCTAAATATTCAGATTATTTGTCCAGTTCAATTTACTTGCTAGTATTTGAGTTTTTTTTAAATATTAATCATATGACACATTTCTAATATTTGGTTAAACTGTTAAATAAACAGGAATATTGATGCTGATATATCTGAATCAAATCTTTGTTTACATCCCGACATCGGTATCGGTCAGGATCTGCTCTGTTCATCCTCTATGACTTAATACTCGATGGTCACATTCAAGAATAAATATAAGAAGTCAGCAGCTTTAAGACAAAGACACTGATGAGTTGTTGATCGGTGTTTTAACTCACGTTCTCGGGGCCTTTGGTTCCCATGTAGAAATGCACCATGATGGAAATAGCTTGTAGTGACAACAAGAACTGACTCTGTAGACACAACAAAAAGACTAACAATGAGTCTACTGCCTTTAAACAGGAAATTAAATCACATTGTAGAAACAATTCAAAATACATTTCCATGGGGATTAATAAAGTTATATCTTTATCTTATTTTTTTATCCTCATTTAACCTTTTACACCTAAAAACACAGGGAATCAAGACCCATGTTTGTTGTTATTATCAGTGATATTAGCTTGTGAGCGTTCACGGGTGTGGCTGCTCAGACTGACCTCCTCCTCTCCCATCTTGGCGAACTCGTAGAGAAAAGCAAAGTACTCGGTCAGGTGTTTGCTGTGGGGCTTGACTCCGTGCTCCATGATGGACAAGAGGGTTTTAACGAAGCGGGTGACGCAGGAGCGGCTGCCGATGTCCTCCACCGGACCGTCCATGTCGTCAGAGCTGAGACACGAGAGGGGAGAAGACATTCAGATCCCATGAAAGAGGGAATTAAAGTCCCCGTCCCTCTCGACTCTGCCCGAGCTGAGTGTGTGTTTCGGTCGTGTGGAGCCACAGAATCTTTCTCCGAGTCTGAAGTGTCCCAGACTCTGAGCGACACGCGGCTCCTCCCTGGATCTCTGTCGCCATCAGACTTCACAGACACAACCACGCGTGATTGAGCTGCACACCTCTGACGGCACGACTACACTGACGCCCGATGTGTCTCTGGAGATCGTGGAATTATTCACAGTTCGAGGTTTAAGAACAGAAAAGGAAAATAATTCTAATTCAAATCTTTTAAAACGCTCGCTGATCACACCTGGTATTAAAACTGAAACTTTCTTCATTCAGAAATAATGAGGTACGTACCCGTCCTCCATGCCGGGCTGCAGGTAGAGGTGGGCGTGAACCGGCCGCAGCCTCTGGATGACGTGAATACACAACCTCTGGAACATCTGGAAGACGTCGGGAAACATCAGGTTAGAGTTAATTTATCTGACAGAACTCACAGCAGAACCGTAGCAATGACTCATGTTGAAGCTCAAAGTACAAATGAAAATAAGAATCAATGGTTTTGTTTTCAGGTCGATTTGAACACGATCGTTGCAAACAACCATCTCCCGCAGTGAGCGAGGGTTAGAGACTTTTCTAGACCTGCACACTCCCGGGACAAGCAGCTCACCTGTCTGACTATCTGATTGGGGCATTTAATCAGGATCTGCATCGGCCACCAGTTGTCATCGGCCATTCGATCCAAAAACCACTGAAACAGAGAAAAGCGACTCTCTTACACTTCTGTTGAATTAAAAACACTCGAGAGACGAATCAGATCAAACTCCTTCTGCACTGCGGTGAAATGAAAGAGGTGTGAACAAACCTCGCAGGCAGCCTGGCTGTTGTTGAACTGTTTGGTCAGGAGTTCGATCCACTGCAGCATGGTGGGCTGGAGACACACACACACACACACACACAATGAATACATGTACACACTCTGACAATCTTGCCTCGACCAGGATTAAATCAAACTTCACAGATTTCCACTGACCTTGGTGGAAGGATGAGACACGGGCCGAGAGAAAACTTTTATTTTCCTTCACATTAAGAGTCAGGATGTTTTCTTTCATTCAATATTTTCACTTATAAGATTCTGAGAGAATAATTCATGGGTCCTGATAAAGAATCAGAGACGGTTCAGGGGCTGATGTTTGTGTGTGTAATTTGGTGCAGCCTGATGTTGGGCCCTGACGGAGGTAAGAGATCTACTGCGTGATCTACGTCACTCATCTCTAGATGATATAGATCTACGTGTTGGTAATAAATAATAATAAGAAGAATATCATGAAAGGTGATTTACCTTCTCCTTAGAGTGAATGAAAGTCTCAAGAACAAATGATGTGCTGAGCTGAAAAAGAAAAGACAATTGTTTCAGACAAATTTATCTCTTTTCCTCGACAGCGATCTCTGTTTAATGTTTTGCTAAAAACTACTCAGTTATAAAAGTTCAGACTGTGAAATGTCCTCAAAGTATAAAAGTGAAACGTTTCCTCTGAAAGATATTTGTGTTAAAATGTGAAAATATGAAGTTGTTCGAAAAACAAATATTTAAGTGAAGAACAAGGAGCTGAACTTAAATACAGTAATCTGTACATCGTAACTTCCCACCTCTGATTTGAAATAACTTTAAATCTCAGACTGAACTGGACAGTTTTCACCTTACACAACAATAAACCTCGTTTTTACTATCTCCTCTTCCTGTTCAATCTGAATTGAACTTCAGAAATGAATATCTACGGCAGACATCCGTTGTCGTGGAGGATTTCTCACCTTGGCCGTCATGAGGGACACAGCTTTAGGGTCTGGTAGAGTGCTGGGGATGCTGCTGCAGAGCTGCCACATGAAACTAAACAGAAAAGACAAAACAGGACTGAAACTTGAGGCTTGTGGAGTTCGTATTTGTACAAATATTCATCTGTGGTTATAGATAATGACTTAATTTCTGTTTATTTGAATTCTCACCCGAAGTAGGTGTGTTCAAATATGTTCTTGTCCTGGAGAAACTGCATGTTGTCGTGCCAGATCCACTGAGAGACACAAGACATGTCAGAGGATTTCAGTGTGAAAACAAAGGACTTCAGTGAATTCAACGTAGATGAAATTACCTCGAGCAGATCAGGGGAGACGTCAAAGTTAAAGTCCTTCCCGTTCTCCTCCTCCAGATCCACTCTCTTGTAGAAGAGCATGTAGGCGCTGTGCGTCTGAGGACGATTCATATTTCATCGTTACGTTCTCCACATCTGTGTTGGTGGTTTTAACTTTAATGGAATAAATGATTAAAAAAAAAAACCTCCTCACCTTCTCAAAAGAGAAATCCATGAACTTGTCAGTGACTGAGTCGTAGGTTTTGGTCTGAAAAGATAAAATAAAGTCGGTGAAATCAAAAAGGTGAGGGGCGGAACAACGTGTCGTCACTTCTCCTCGGACTGCAGCTCGTACCGTCATCTCCCCTCCGAAGCACTCGGACGCCAGCTGTGCTGAGTCGAAGGGCTTCACCTCTGCGTCGTTGAACAGGTACCTGCGAGCAGTTTGCTTGTTTTATACACAGCTGGTCTGGAAAACTAAAAATCTAACATGAATTCTCCTGGAAAGTTGTTTCCTTCTCTCACCACTTGTTGTTCTTGTAGGCGTGCGGGTTGACGATGTCTCTGATGAAGCTGTAGTAGTGGCCGCCGTCAGCCGTGCCCGTGTGCACCGTGACACCGATGAGGTCGTACTCATAGCTCTCCGTGACCTTTGCCTCGCCGTCTTCCCGAAAACCTGCGACACAACAACCGGACCGCAAAAAAAAAAAAAAAAAGTTCAAGAGCATTTCTGATGTGAAGTTGAGAAAAGTTGTAGTTTTATCTGGAGCAGTTTGCTGTGATGATTTTAATTATCACAGTCAAAGACTGAACTGAAAGAACCAATATACAGATTTTGGACTTTTCATATTTGATTCCGTGCACTTGTGAAACGTATTAAACGCAGTCATCACCACGACACAGTCTGTAGATCTCAATGTGCAGACAAACCCTCTTTCCGCTCCCCTTTCCCCATGAGGAAGTCCTCGGTGTAAGGCGTCATGTCGAGCCGCAGGGGGAATGAAAAGTGGGTGTTGACCTTCTCCTTCATCATGGTCACCATGTTGAAGGTGTAGCGCATGGTGTTGAAGCTCAGGATGCGAGGCAGCTTCTTGAAACAGGCTCTGTGGGAGAGAGGGACAGAGAGCGGGTGAGACAGAGAGGTCGAGGGACACGAGCGACTCCCTGCTGAAACAGATCGGAGTTTCTTTCTCACCTCTTCTCTGCGCGGACCTTCTTGCCACACTGGGAGCAGGTGTACATGTTGTCGCCCTCCAGAGTGTCCTTGATGGTCACCTCATCCAGAGATTCCTGAACGGACGACAGGGAGAAACTGTTTATCACCTTTTCTGCTGAGCATTGAAGCTGTTCTCAGACCCTCGGGACATTTTCTGAAACATTCCAGAGGGGCTGTAAGCGTCAGTCGCTCCAGAACGTTTCCTGCGGAACCCCTGGTCCATGTGAGGAAACAACAGGAGCATCCAAAACGTCCGTTGTCGCTCATTTATGTTCTGATTGTTTCCGTTGTTTATCGTGACTTTTGCATTTATGTTTTCTGAGCTCGTGTGAGACGTGTTGGAATGTGCTGGAAACAAAAACACGGAGCTCTCCACAGCAGAGTTTGTTTTTATACTCACGTAAATGTTCTTCATGTCTGCTACTTGACATCGGACCGTGTAAAACTCCTCGGCCGTCTGACTGACGTGGTCACAGTCCTGCACGACAAACAACAAACGTTAACCCGAACCACATTTGGATTCACACTCTTAAGATCAAGTTCAGTTCTTTCATAACAACAAACGTTACAAAGGTCAGAAATAGACGAACCGGTAAATTAGACTCTATGTAAATAAATCAGGATGGAGAAGAGATTGAAAAAGAGCTGAAGCTCAGAATATCTGAGGTCAAAATGCAGAGTCTAGATTCTTTAAATTTCAATATTCCTCAAATCAAATGATTCTCAAACTCACCAGAGAAACCACGTTGTTGGTGATGACGCCTCCGAACAGAGTCTTCACTGTGTTTTTCTGAGAGTCAAGAGAAACAGGCGAATCTTTAATTACGACTGAAACACATTTTTATCAACTGCTGGTTGAATTTCAGGTAAAATATTATCAAAGTCATATCAAAGTCAGTATCAGAGGTTTCTTTTTGTTGAAACCTAATCCCCATCATAACTGAACTGGGACCCGTTCACACCTGGTTTGTTTCAGAGACATCAGGTGTGAAAGGTTCCTCAGACCAGAGGAGGACAGGACACAGTTTAATGCCTGTCGCTCGTAGATTGTCTGATTCGAGTGAGCGTGTGCGTTTACCAGCTCCTGCGACATCTCCTCTATCTTGGTGATGAGGTCGGTGAAGAACTCCGTCATGTCCTTCTGCTCCCCGGTGTTGAGCGGCTGTTTGTCCATGGTGTAGGTTTTACAGAAGGGTCGGGGGTTGTACGCTTTCCTCTCACTCTCCTGAACAGACAGAGGAAGGGGGAAGACATCACAGGAAGTGTTATAGGCCGCATTATCAAACGCACAGCACATCATGAACCACGGAGGTCAAGAAGCTAAACCGATGACTTATTTCATCCAGCTGACTGAGAGACTTTAGAGAACACCCAGCAGCAATCCTGTAAAATATAAAGTGGTGTGGGATGAGAAGAAAACATGAGAGGAACAAACTCACCATGAGATACGTGAACATCTTCTGCAGCTCCAGCAGCGTGGTCTTGTGTTTGATATCCTCAGCATACTGCACACACACACACACAGACACACAATAAGAATCCACATGCTTTCTTGAAAGTGAAGGAGCAGCTTCCTGTGCGTCTTCCGAGGCACTGACCTTGGCGGTGAAGACGGCCTGACGGGCCTCAGGGATCATGTAGAGCTGCTGGATGGTGGAGGCCAGGTAGCAGGTTGCTCCCAGGTTGGTCAGACCCACGAAGCGACACTCAGCCCGGACGTCGTCGTGGGGCCAGTAGTCCCACTTGTACGGGGCGTGAGAGGCTGCAGGGAGGAGAACGAGGGTGAGGTTTAACAACATGGAGTTTCTGTTGTGCTGCTGCTCTTGTGTTTGTGTGAGTTGTCTCGGCCGTTGTGGTCAGAATGTTCTGTCTCTCCAGCATCAATCCCACCTGAAGGGACAATGGCTTGTAGATCAAGACAGATTTCACTGTTGCAAAGCTCAAATTGAGTCCGATCATCGTCCTTCAGGACTTCAGACACAGAGTGTAGCCTGCAGACGAGTTTCCCACGACAACAACCAGAAGACTGCTGCACTCATACGAATCACATGCGCAGACTCTAAATAGCGCCGCTCTTATAAATGTGACGCGTTAACGGGCTGTGAAACGATGGAAACCGAGGATCGGTCAGTGTCTTTCCTGTTTTCTGAACTTAATCTAATAAACGACCGGTGCAGCAGCCTGCGTCCTCACCCTGCATGTGCTGGGACATGACCCAGTTGTGGAGGAGCCGGTAGTTCTCCACCGAGCCCTTCACCGTCTCCACCAGCAGGTCGTAGGCGGCGGCCCGGGCGGCGTGGGATTTGCACTTGGGCTGAGCGCGGTCGGCCAGGCTGGGCAGGAGGAAGAGGAGGTTGTGGACGTCCCGCAGGAACTCCTGCCCCTCGCGGGAGAACTTGAAGGGCGGCTTGTGCTTGAGGACGCTGGTGGCGAGACGCAGGAGGCCGGTGAGCCCGTCGTCCTCGATCATGCCGTCCTGCTGGTCCAGGATCTCACGACTGGGAGAAGAACACAACCAAAATGATACATGACACTGCTCTTTTGATTTGAAGTCTGAGGGGAAAGATGTTCAAAACCCTGTGAGGTCGTTAAACCAGATTATTTTACGTTGTGAGAAATTTCAGAAAGTTTCACTCAAACATCCTGAAAAAACAGAGAAATTCACTGTGAGAACGAATCTTTTTCGTTTTTGACTGTCTGACCTCCTGATGCAGTCGGCGAGATGTCGAGCGAGAGCGTCCAGGTCCAGCAGCGTTGTCTGCATCGCGCCGGCCAGCGACAGAGAGGGAGAGACCTTCTGTGAGTTCAAACAGACCAACGCTAGCAACGGCTCCGTGAAACATCAGGACAATACTGCAAACATTTAAATAACACGTCAATCAGCTGACAACAGCTTCACGGAGGTACGAACCTGGCTGGCGTCTTTGACGTGGATGTTGTCGATGAGTTTACAGAGCAGCCAGAAATATTCTTTACAGCCCGTCCTCAACAGAGGCTCCTCCTCATAGTCCTCCACCTGCGGAGACGCGTTACAATCAAACTCTCTTTTAAAGCGACGTCCACACAGTCTTTACTGACGAGCATCCGAATAACATCAAGTTAACGCACGATCATCGACTTGTTGGCTTTTCAGTTAAAAACATCAGGTGTGAGAAGTTTCCAAACTAACCGGGTCAAACGGAAACAATGAGAAAACGTTCTCAGTGTCAGAACGATTCCTGTCAACAGCACCCGTCTGCACCCAGCGGGTGTGTGTCCCAGTGTCTCCGAGCATTAATCCCACCAGATGGACAACGTCTCACAGAGACTTGAGTTCACTGTAGCAAAGCTCAAATTGTGTCAAGTCATCGTCCCTGAGGACTCCTGACACAGAGTGTGGCTTGCAATCAAATCTCCTTTTTATTTAAAATATGCATTTCCTTCTACGAGTGTGTGTGTGTGTGTGTGTGTGTGTCTCACCCTCAGTGGTTTGAGGGCCTGTGCGTCAGGCAGGAACTTGAGCAGCGTGGAGGCGGCGAGCAGCAGGAAGGATCTGTTGATGGACTCTCCTCCCTCCAGACCCGACAAAGAGAGCTTGTAGAGGCCGTTACACGCCTCGTGTCTCACTGCCGGCTGACAACAACAACAACAACAACGACGATGCAGAAATTACACAACAGCCTAAAGAAAACAAAGCGTCAAGACTCATCTAGA